CCATGTAGTTCATCGCTGCACATGGACTTGAAAGGCATAAAGTTCTCATACCAACACCGATAATAGTCTGCAAAACAACTTTATAACTCTTGTCCTTTAGATTTTTCAAATAAGAAACTAGGAGACCTGTAAAAGGAGGGAAATACAGAAAAGCAGAGCCAAGACTGTCCAAACACCTTAAAACTAGCAAGATCCAAAATCTTGTTCTTCCCTCCTCCAATAAGCTGTATAAATTGGCCTAGGGCATCCTGGAATGCAGGGACTCTGTATGTCTCATTCCTTTCCAGCCCAAGTCACTCGATTGATTTTCTGTACTTTCCACACATCCCAATCCTATACAAATTTACTCAGAAGAACCCACTCCTCCATTTCAGAAAAAAATATTTCCAAGAATGCACAGAACTGCAGGTCACTTGAAAAGAAGTAGCACTCCTTAAAGAAGGCTGATTGCCGAAGAATTGATGCTTTTGAATTATGGTGCTGGAGGAGACTCTTGAGAGTCCCATGGACTGCAAGAAGATCAAACCTCTCCATTCTGAAGGAAATCAGCCCTGAGTGCTCACTGGAAGGACAGATCCTGAAGCTGAGGCTCCAATACTTTGGCTACCTCATGAGAAGAGAAGACTCCCTGGAAAAGACCCTGATGTTGGGAGAAGGGGACGACAGAGGACGAGATGGTTGGACAGTGTTCTCGAGGCTACCAGCATGAGTTTGACTAAACTGCGGAAGGCAGTGGAAGACAGAAGTGCCTGGCATGCTCTGGTCCAGGGGGTCATGAAGAGTTGGACACAACTAAACAACAACAACAAGCACTCCATTATTGATGCCGTTATTATTTCTGCATATTATCTTGCAAATGTTGCTTTGAAACTTCCTGTTCTCACTAGTTTAATCAAGAATTGCTTAAAACTCACAGGCTTGCTGTGACATATCAATAAACAAAGCACATCTGAATTATAATACACACTTCACAAATTTAAGAATGCTTATAAGTACTTCAAGGTCCAACGTACAGAACTGCTACCAAACAGTAACTGAAGTTACTTTTTCATAATATTTGTTATTATTGTTATTGCTTTAAAAGATCTCTGATCTGCATAGACCTCAATGGTAACCCATAAAGAAGTCACAAGTAACTTCTTAACATTTTTAAACAATAAAGCACAGCAATGCAGAGGTTAAATTACTGTAGAGAAGTCTCATTCTCTCATATATATATATATATATATATATATGAGAGAATATATATATGATATTATGGAAAGACCAAGGAGAGCCACCGCCAGTCAAGAGTAGACAATATTGGGCAACACGGACAAGTGGTCTGGCCAGGCATAGAACAGCTTGCACAAGTAAAGATTATGAAGCCAATTAAACACCTTGCATTGAGCAACAAAAGCTTTTAATGAATCAACAAGGATTTAGAGGTGTTCTGAGCCAAGTTAGAATTCTTCAACAGAAGCTACAAAAATAGTAAGGCCTTTTTGGAATTATGCATTATGACACAAACATGAGTTGAAGATACGCTACTTTAGCCAAATGTAGCAAGCGTTTCTATCCAATTCTGAAGAAACTGTGGCAGATATTGTGTAGAATTTGCATTTTGCTTCAGTATGAATTAGGTTATAACTACTGAACTCACTACACTTTCTAGAATTCCACCAAGACTAAGGAGCAAAGGGGTCACTGAGATTATGACTGTTGTTTTTATATCACATATAATGCCAACAGATAATTGCTCCCTGCTCTGCTCATGTCTAAATACTTATTGAAGGTATTAGTGTATGTACAGTACAAACAGCATGCATATTCATAAGAATCTAGCTCTACCCACCTATGGCCAGGCTCTTTACCCTGGGAATGGTCAAAGAGATATTACCAAGCCACTTGTGGCACAATGGGGCAGTGCACCTGGCTGTTAACCAGAAGGTTGGTGGTTTGAGCCCATGCACGGATGGCTGCAGGCAGGGTTCCTGAATTGCAGGGGACTGAACTAGATGACCCTTGGGGTCCTTTCCAACTCTACACAGAGTAAACTTTTGTTGATGCAAACTCCAGATAAACGAGTTTGGACATAAGAAAATCTGTGCTGGATTAGATGAAAGGCCCATGAATTCCAGCAGTGTTCAAAACTCCCATTGTTCTAGGAGCATTTTACAACAAGGAATTTCATTAGTGTGAGTAGTTTCTGAGCTTTGGATGCAGTACTGTGCCTAAGATTTCAGATTTAAACTGCAGAGTGGAAGGAGAGGGTGACCTTTTTCTGCCTCCTCACTTCCAGCTACTCTGAAGACTGGAGAAGAGACCCTCTTAAGAATATCAGGGGGGTGGGCAGGGGAAGGACTAGACCATGTGAAAAATGAACATAATATTTCAGTTGCAGTTCATTTTCAGCATTGTATTCTTGTTATAAAAAAGCACGCCTAGACATTCTATTGTTGCACCCTTAACCTAGGTTTAAGGTGCCGTTTAGCTCCTAGCTTTCATATCTCAGTTTCTAACACTGTTCTAGCATTCCATTTCCCAAGCAGCCACCTAGATGCCTCTGAAGTCCACAACTAAGGCATGGAGGCAACAGTCCTCTCTCACTGCCACTCCCCAACAGGTGGTATTCAATGGCAGAGTGTCTCTGAATCTGATGACTTCATACAGTCATCATGACCAGTAACCGAAAATACAATTTATGGAAAATAAGGCTCTCTAATCCCCTTTAAAGCCATCTAAACTAGCAGTCACCACAGTAGCTCATAGCAGCCCAATTTCATAAAATTATGTGTGGAAAAATTCACTGTCTGTCCTGAATATCGTACTGATAACCTCAAGTACTAGTATTATGAGCTAGGGATAAAGGTATAGTTTCTAGCATTTCTTTGAATGAAGCACAAATGCTTGAATACACCTGACATAAATGTTTACAAGTATTGAGGACATACTCAGCTGTTTCCCTTACAGTGTGCATGAGCAAAACATCTCTGCCTTTGGTGAAACTATGCAGGAAAGCCTTTTCGCTTATCTCATGCATAAAAAAGAAAACCAGAATACAGGAATTCAGTCCCACATCCCTTCATACACTCCTTTACCCTATAAAACTATGAACCCTATAGTCCTTGCTGTGCACTATACAATACTTCATAGCATCAATCTCCCTGCATGCTCATGGTACTCGCTCTCTCTTCAGGATCTTCCCGAAAGCTCCCCTTCCCTGTGAATCCTTTGATTTAGCATCTTAATCCACATTCTCACCTATCAGCGTGTCTAGGCACACATAAGCATATTGCCTCATAGTCACCCCTTGTTTCATATTCATCTTTCCATCTCCCCTCGTCTAAACTATAAATAAGTAGGTTGTCAACACTTGGGGGTAGTTATCTTTTTATTATCTATATTATTATATTCTCTTGAATGTCATATATTTTGATGTGTAGTATATAAACATTATTTCCACATCTTTCCCTCTCACCATATGATTAGATTCTGCTGCTGCTCCACCTTTAACTGTTCCCATTCTCTCTAATGAAGAGCCAGCAAAATCACAAAACATTTTTGTCCCAGGAATAGCACTAAAGAAATGCACCCCACTTGCTTAGCAACAGCAAATTCCCAGGCACATCTCAACGACCCCCTTCCCATGGGAAAACCTCAACTGCTTTGCAAGAAGAGAAGTACTGCACCCTCTTGAACATCCTTTCACAAACCTGGGTCCCCCAACGATGTTGGACTATAACTCCCATCATCCCTAGCAACCAGGACCAGTAGTCAGGGATGATGGGAGTTGCAATCCTACAACATCTGGGGGCCCAAATTTGAGAAAGGCTGCTCTTGAAGGATGACCTTGCAGCAAGGCACCCACCCTCTCTACTCTAGCCTGACCCCTCCCCAAGAAGGCCAGTTCCTACACATAAGAGCCCTTCTGGATCAGGCTAATGGTCCATCTAGCCCAGCATCCTGGTCTCCCAGCAACCAATCAGATGCCCCTATGGGGAAGCCTGAAGACATCACACAGCTGCAACAGCAACTCTCCCCATTTGCGACTCCCAGCAAATGTCACTGAGGGACATGATGCGGTTGGCTAGTAGGCTTATCCCACCCCATCAGGACTCTGCCTTACTGTCTTTTAAAGACATGTTGGGGTCACCATTACCTCCCATGGAAGTGAATCCCAGGGTTAACTATGCCCCCGTGTGTGCAGAAGAGCTTTCTTTTATCTTCAGACTGGATAGCCTCAGGTTCTATTATTATTATTATTATTATTATTATTATTATTAAGTAATAATAACAATCTCAATTGGTAGAGCATGAGACTCTTAGAATCAGAGAACCATAAAACAGTGAGAGTTTGAAGTGACCCCGAGGGTCATCAAGTCCAACCCCTTGCCACGCAGGAATATTTACCCAACATGGGGCTCGATCCCAAGACCAAAAGCCTCATGCTCTAGTGATGGAGCTATCCAGCCCCACGTTGGGCAAAAAGATAAGACTCCTGCATTGCAGCGGGTTTGGCTGGATGGCCCTCGTGGTCCCTTCCAACGACAAACGAGATGACCCAAGGGCGTGCAGTCAGAAGACAAAAGAAAGCCCTTCCAGATACGCGGGGGGGGGGCACGATGACGGGGGAGGAAGAAAGGAAAGCTTCTCCGGCCATGCATAAAAAAAACCTTATCACGTCGTCGTCCCTTCCCTGGCCCACCTTCTTCCCAAACTAAAAAGGGGGGAGCCCGCAAAAAAGGGGGAGCCCCCGCCCGCAAAAAACCCCACCGTTATGAGGAAGGAATCGAAAGGTTTCCAGCAGGAGGCCGCCGCCCCCCCGCCCCTCAGGTCAGGGGGGCTGACTAGGCCAGATAGGCTCCCCCCACCCTCAGGCACTGCCCTCAGCACGACCCCCTGCGAACCTGCTCGGCCCCCTAATCTCTAAGGAGAATATGGGGAGGGGGGGACGTGAAGAGAAGGGGAAACAAAACACACGGACCCCGCCCCCCGCCCGCCCCTCGAGCCGCCCGTACCTTTGTCGCTTGGCGCATCCCGGCCGCGAAAAGGGGCCTCTCCCCGCCCCCCGCAAACACCCGCCCCCCTCTCTCTTTCCGCCCCCCCTCCTCCCAACTCCACGAGCGCGACGGCGACGGCAGCCGCTCGGCGACACCTCACGTGGGTCCGGTTCCCACAACCTACACGGCAGCGGCCGGCCCAGCGCCTCTACACGTCACTCTCCCGCGACGAGAGCTTCCGGATCGAGAGGCGGGGGTGGAGGAAGTGAGAGGGAGGGGATTAGGAGCGGCTTCTTGCCGGACCTGTTTGCGCATGCGTGCAAGAAAAGGGACTGAAGGGGAGGGGCGGTAAGTGAAAGGGAGGAGGAGGAGGAATGAGCCGCTAGGCTCCACCATCTTTTGGTCCGGGAAAGGGAGGAGGAGTGCGCATGCGTTGGGGGGGAAAGCAAGCGGGGAGGAAGGGTCGGCCGTTCTCGTTGCGCGTGCGCGGTTGGTTTCTCGTGGCTAGGTTTCCACCCCACCCCCATATTTGCATATTAATTGCTGGGGGCGGAGGGACGACGGTGGATTTAAAGATCAATATAACTACTTAAAAGAAAAAACAAAGCAAAATAACCATTAGAGATAAGCCCTTTATCTCTAATCATTTAAAGATAATAATCATTAAATTAATCTCGACTAATTAGTCATTACTTTCGTGCTGATGGTGTGCATTTAATCTGTCTTGATATTCTGCCACCTAATTTGTGTTTTAATTTTTTGTTAATTAGATTGCTCTGCGTCGCCTGGGGAAATGGATTAACAGGCAACTAAACGTGCTAATAATTACTTTATTATTATTATTATTATTATTATTATTAAAATTACCTGGGTACTATTAGAGTCCAAGTGACTTAACAAGCTGTTGCACTATGCTAGTGAAGGGTAGGCCAGTCAGTCTACTCAGGAAGTTGTTGTTATTATTATTATTATTATTATTATTATTATTATTATTATTGACAAAGGAGCATTATGATATGCGATCTCCTAACAGCTGCCCAAAGTGATACATTCCAGGAATGGGTTTGCACGTCTAAAGAAATTAAGGCCCTCAAAAGGAACCCTGAGTTGAAAAAGGTTCAACCAGCACTGGTGAATAGAAACAGGATCAGGCCAGCTCCTTCTCTTGCAGAGAAATCAAAATGATGACGACAAAGGTTGCAAAGCAGCTGCGCTTGCAGGGCAAAATCTGTTACAAGTCCCCTCCTGATTGATGTGCGAGGCAGTTTTCTTTTGATGATTGGCATCTGCCAGGATGACAGTTCATGCTAGGATTTTTTCAGCATTCAGAAAAGCTGTCTTGCACAAGAAATAATAAGAGGAAAGTGCCCTTGTGGGATAGAGCCCAGAACTAGGGAGAGGGTTGAGACTTGCAAACATGGCAAGCAGATCCAGCGCCAGCTTGGAAGCCTGCCCCCTTTGCACCCCAAACAAAGCAGCTGGTGCTACAGACTTGAAGCTACAAGGGTACACTTTGAAAGAATGAACACCAACACCCTCTCAATGGTGTGTGTCTTGGATTCGAATGCAGGAACAGGAAGGATTATGCTCCAGCAGGTCCAAACGCAAACATGCAAATAAAAAGCTGGCAGAGCTGGTGCCAGGCTTAACAGGGCCCAGGACATGGCAATCATTATTATTATTGTTATTATTAATTTAATGCATTTATATCCCACCTTTCTGCTTTCTTGAAGAACCATCTTTTACCACGAGTCTGTCAGTTTGTATTTCTTAGTGCAGAAAGTATTGATCTGATGTGTGGAGATCTTTCCTATTCTACTTATTTCAAGGGGGTTCTGGAAGCTTCTCTGCATGAAAGAAATAAGCAGAGGGTTCATGATGTTTGGGTTATTCCTTCTGGGAAGCTGAGTACAGCTGGTGTAAAGTGGTTCTGTTACCTCTTCTGCCATGGTCATGCTGACTATAATAATAGGCCAGAAGGAGTGTGCGCTTCACTTTCTCTATCTCTTTTCCTTCTGGTGTAGTGTTTTGTACCTAGTATGCTTAGTGATAAGGTTTAGACTTATAAGTTATTGTAAGTTTAAGTGAAGTCTGCTGCAACTGGATTTCTTATAGAAAGTGCCAATCCTGAATGTATTGGATTTGTGTCCATTATGCTCATTTGCCTTCAGTAGCAGAAAAGCTCTGCTGGATGGAATATTAATTTCGTCTGGTCTATTTTGGGGGGAATCTTGCAACATGTTTAAGTTTTTAATCTGCTAACTATACGTTGAAATCTGCTCTGGATCAATATTGAGTAGAATTTCAATGACAGAGTCTGCCTGCCCTCAAGTTCAACATTGCCCGGGACATAGACAGGGCCTCCTTCATAGTGGCACCAAACTTGTGGAAGGATTAGCTCCCTGCTTTTTAGCCTTTAGGCCAGGGTTGGGGAACCTGTGCCCCCTCCCCGGATGTTGCTGGACTACCAACTCCCATCATCCCTGACCATTGGCCATGCTACTAGCTGGCGCTGAAGGCACTTGGGAGTCTGGCAGGCCACAGGTTCCCTACCCCTGCATTCTGGTTTTATTTAATCTTTTACTTGAGTTGCTTTTCATTTTTTCCTCGATGCAATAGGTGGCTTTACTGTTGCTCTGTTTTTGTTTTTGTTTTTTAAAATGATATTTATTAAAGTTTAACAATTACAGAAAAAAGAAAAAAAACAGTAAAAAGTTAAAAAAGAAAAGAAAATACAATAAAAAACAACAATACAGCAAAACAATACAAAAAAAGAAATAAAAACATTTAAAAACAAAAACATTTAAAAAGAAACCCATCCAGTATTTTCATATCTTTATCTTTCATTTACTTGTTTCCTTGACTTCCTCGCACCTCCCTTTTTTGTATTCTAATTCAATTAATTGTTTCAGCAAGTCCTTTCCCTCTTTCTCAAATTTTGTTCCATAATTTATCTAACGCAATTTAACCTTAAATTTTACACTTTGACCCGTTAACAATCTATTTTTACTCAATTCTTTATAACAGTTCTGCTAAAGCCATATAACTTCTTTCCAGCATCCTTGTAACATTCATTTATTTTACAATATTTGTGTAAATATACTTTAAATTTTTTCCAATCTTCTTCCACCAACTCTTCTCCCTGGTCTCGGATTCTGCCAGTCATTTCCGCCAACTCCATGTAATCCATCAGCTTCATCTGCCATTCTTCCCGGGTGAGTAGATCTTGTGTCTTCCAGTCTGTTTTTGCACTCTTGGTTTCTCTGTATTTGTTTTGCTTCATTGTACATTTTGTATCTGTTGGGGGCTCTTGGAATGGAGAGGTATGATATACATTTCCTAATAAATAAATCCATTTGTGCACTACAATTTTATATCAACCTCGTACTAAAGCTTCCCCCCCCCCAAAAAAAAAATAATTCTGGGAATTGTAGTTTGGCGATGTGGGTATTGAGAATTCTTTGTCTGAAATCCTTTCCCCTCTGCCCTGAACTAGTTTTCCAAGATTCCTCTGGGGAGAAAAACTGATTATTAATTGGGGGGGGTCACATAACTCCCCACCCCTCTGGGGTCAGGATTAGCTTAGTTCACTATTTGTATACATCATTCCACACAACCAGAGACATTCCAAAGTGATTTGCAGTTATAACAAAATACATAGGAAATTCTCATCTGTGGCTCTTATCAGTGCAATTGGAGGTGACTTCATTATCATGGTCAAGGCTGAATAGGCCACTGACAGGCAATCGGAGTCCTTCTGCTCATCACATCGCAGTGCCTTGTGGCAATTTCTTATCTTTCAGATCGTATTGTGATGGACACCCCCAATCTCCAAGCGGCGAGAGATTTCGGGGTGCCGACACTAACCTCGAGTGTGGTTTCCTTGGAATGAAGGTCACTGGAGACGGTGGTGTCTTGATGATATATGGTTTAATGTGCTCATAGATATAGGCTGAACATAAGTGCTCACTGAATTAGGACTTCAGCAGATATTGCTCTCCCGTTAGGTTTCTAGGGAGGCCGTTGGTTTCAGCACAGATTCAGGCTTCTATTTCCCCCCCTCCTGCAGACGATATGGACTATTGATTCCTTACACTCACCAGTGATATCACCTCCACCCAGGCAAGGTGGGGAAGGCTTCTTTGAGCATCTCCATCTTGTAGTTTCTATGGCAAACCAGTCAGCTCTATCTACTCTTTGCAAGAGATACTTAACATATAATGCTAGCTTAACAAAGAGAACATCTTAAAAAGCAGAGACATCACCTTGCCAACAAAGGCCCGTATAGTTAAAACTATGGTTTTCCCAGTAGTGATGTATGAAAGTGAGAGCTGGACCATAAATAAGGCTGATCGCCGAAGATTTTATGCTTTTAAATCATGGTGCTGGAGGAGACTCTTGAGAGTCCCATGGACTGCAAGAAGATCAAACCTATCCATTCTTAAGGAAATAAGCCCTGAGTGCTCACTGGAAGGACAGATCGTGAAGCTGAGGCTCCAATACTTTGGCCACCTCATGAGAAGAGAAAACTCCCTAGAAAAGACCCTGATGTTGGGAAAGATTGAGGGCACAAGGAGAAGGGGACGACAGAGGACGAGATGGTTGGACAGTGTTCTTGAGGCTACCAGCATGAGTTTGGCTGAACTGCGGGAGGCAGTGGAAGACAGGAGTGCCTGACATGCTCTGGTCCATGGGGTCACGAAGAGTCGGACACGACTAAACGACAACAACAAAGAGACTGGTCTGACCACTTTAGCAGCCTCTCTTTCTATGGTGCTCAAACTTTTTTCCCTCTGGGTCACACTTTCATGCCCTCCAACATTTCTCCAATGAAAATAAGGACATCCCATTCCATAATGATAATTTTACTATTTATACCCCACACATCTGACTGGGTTGCCCCAGCACTCTGGGCAGCTTCCAACACATACAAAAACATAATAAAGACTTAAACACTATAAAAATAAATAAATCCCTATACAGGATTACCGCCAGTTGGCTCAGGGGTTGGATAACTCCATTCCCTCCAACATTTCTCCTAAGGAAAAGCGGGACATTCCGGGATCAAATCAGAAACCAGGATGGCTTCTGTAAAT